CCATGTTATATTCCTGTGCACAAATACATTCGAACAAATACGGCCATAGAAGCTGAAATGATGCCTACGCCGAAATAGAGGGTTTTTCTATTAAATCAAAAAATCTGATGAGGCGAAAAATTTTGAATTTTGCGCAGAATGAGTTCTGTGGAAAAGTGAAATTGTCCAGTACAGTCGTGATAAATATTAGCAATGCTGGGTGCGCTAACATTATGGGCAGTAGAGCACGTCTTGGCAATAGTTTGCAGTGCTTGCCCACACTGTGTTCGAAGATGTGCCGCACTGTCGTTGGCTTCCGTGCTCGATGAAAAGAACGCTTTTTTGGCCTGTAATTTTCAAACACTAAGAAGTAGTACAGTGGTTTCAATAAAGCACCAAGTTACAACTTTTCTGGACTCAAATCCCACTAGAAACACCTACGGATTCATCAAAATCAGAGCTCACGCCAATCGCATTCATTCATATATTCCGCATAAAAGTTTGATAACACTGTTGGAAATGGATACTGCTGTGTTTAAACCTCTGACATTTAGAAGTAATAAAAATGCGGGTAATTTTTAAACCAAGAATTCTCCAAATCCAGCATTCGATTAAAAATTCATGAGCACACGTCTCATAAGACGATCAGTCAACAAAAACTAATAAAAATCGTACCGCGGGAACTGTGTAAAAATTTAAAAGTTCGTAGAATTTATTTTAGCAAAATTTTCGGTCAAATTCAAAAATTCTGTCAAGTCTCACTGATTTCAAAATCTTGCCACTGCGATGAAGATGAGCCAGGAGTAGAGCACAGTCAATACTAATCAATCTCAAATATCAGTAAAAATCCTGAAGAAAGGGGTGAAAAAGATGCTTGGCAAAATTTAGAAAGAACCAAGCCTAGTTCTTCGCGAACTTCGAGGGAATTCGTAAACTGGTTCGGAAGATAAAATCTTTGATTACAGAAGCTGACATTACGAAAAAAAGGTGATGCCAGGATTTATTAGCTCGAAAAATATTTTAAAATATTCTGCTGAAAATGTTTTTGGGCGCTCTCACATAAAATTAAATGATTACCGATTCCGGATCGTGTGCAACGAGATTTTTCACCAAAAATGTGATAACATTGTCGCCACCTTCTACGTCAACATACTCATGATCTGCTAGCGCAACGCATAGCTGGCACATAGCTTTTTTCACCCGAATGCTCAGAGTACCCTCACTACCAGCTTGCAACATCGGCTTCAAGCCAAGAATCACCAGCGATCGTTTGTCGTCGATATATGGCCCTACACAAACAAAATGACCATTGTTACCCAAATTCAGCATTTTGAGAAAAGAAATTTGTCTAATTCAAAAACAACCCAATACACTGGTTCAGTGGTAAGTAGTTCAGTAGTAAGTTCCTGTTCAGTAAGCAGTTTGGGAATAGCAATGTTAAGGATGAAGTAATAATGATCAATACAGATCAGGTGTGTTTCAAAACGCCAGAAATCTTGCCAAATGCTGTTGTGAAAAAATTATCAAACCCTTCAACAGATGAAAAAAGAACGTCAGGATCGCCAAAAGACGATTCTGTCCGTTAGACGGTCCCATCAGCAGTGCTGCTGGCGGGAGGCTGAAGAGGAATCACGCAGACTATTTTCGGGCATCTTATACCTTTCACAAAAAATTAAAAAAATGAAATATGAACGGCTGACTGGTTTCAACATGACTGACTAATAAAAACCACTTTTCAGTAATTTCCGACTGCTTAGTTTTGTAATAAATGATTTTTATTTTATAAAAAATATTCAAACTAAATCTTTGTGCACTAAAAATTTACCTGCTGAATTGAGCAGATGCCTGAGTACATTGATAGCGCCCAATTTGAAACTATCCTGCACACTCTGCATTTTGTGCAACAAATAATATACAATTTTGTCGGCAAAACGCGTCGCTGAAAACAGCAAATTGTAATACCCATGTTTTACTCGACTCGTCCTAGCCCATTTTAACCTGAGAAAAACAATTATTATAAATGAAAATGATATTTCGGCGAAGCCAAGCATTAGTTCCAAGGGAAGGAGAAAGAAATTATGCCAAGCTAGCAGCAGCTGCGAGCACCATGAGAATTTTGGCTTCTGTGCAAGAAAAAAGAGAAAAACCCAAGGAAGCCAGTGCCGATTTGTGCTGTGGTACTCAAAAAAATTGAACAAAAGAAAATACGTGCATCCAACAGCAACTTAGTACCAATAAAAAATGAAAAGTGAGGGGCAAAGTGAATGAAAATAAAAACCCCTTGGAGAGTTACTTACTGATTAATAAGAGAATATGCTGAAGTAGTTCATCTCTATCCACACAGCGACAGGGAAGCGATTCTACAATAATAGCAAGCTTAGGAAGACGCATAAAACGACAAAGAAAAAGCTCAAGTATCCGATTCCCACGATTCTCATTCCCTGCTTCGTCTGATGCAAGCTGAAGGCGATGTTAATTTCAGGTTGCACAGCAAGTGGTTTCAAATATCGGATGCTGTGTGTCGATTAAAAACGAAGCATCAGTATTTTAATGAAATTATTAAGTTGGTAAATTAGTGCTGTTGCATGTTAGGGAATTCTGTTGCCTTAAGCAAACCTTTTTAAATTTCTCGGATGAAAGGCAAAAGCTTTACAAGTTGCTGACTGCTGTCAACAAGGTGCAATTACCTGGGCAACTTACAAACGTTCAATTCTCAGAAAAGAAAACACACACCCACATGCAGCAGAGAATTTTTAACTATTCACTTTTAAAGTATTAAATAAAAAGTTAAAAAGCACATTTTAAAAAAATTTACTCCCCTCAAGAGGCATTCGAAAGTAGTCCGAGTACTTGCAAGAACCAATCGGCACGGCTGTCGATGGCTTCCTTTTTAAGGGTTACTTGGAAGCAAATCTGTGGCAGTCAACTCTTTCGCTAGTATCATGTGCCAGTACCAATTTATCATTGAAACGAATGAACGAATCGCAGAGGGATTTGCTGTCCCACCAACGGAATGGAATCCCCGAGCTGCTTCGCATGACTGCAGGGCTATTTACCACCGTCATCTACTAGCTTTGAGGAGCTATTTGTAATTTTCAAATCAAAAAAGCATATTTATAAATAACATTGAAAATGAGGAAAATAAAACGAACCAGCAACGTGGAAGCAGCGAAACGCTTCACTCTGATTACGCATTGATACATTCGAAGCAACAGTCTGCTCGGCAACCGAGCACACAAGCGGGAATAGTGCATTCAATATATCCTCTAAATAAGCATCCAGTGGGCAATTTTCGTCGGCACAAGCTGATTCCAGGAAACGACACAATCCCTAAAATTAACAGCGGGTCAAGTAGATTACAGCTTACAGGCCAACCCTGGAAGTGCAGATGGCAGGATGGGCAAATGCAGGAGACAGTAATGAAGGTAGGTGGTGAGAGTGAGATAAGACGTTTCGGTCCATTAAGTATTTTTGCACCGTTCTGACTTTTGTAGTTTCTTTTTTTTGAGTCAAAAATCATCTAAAGTTAATGCTCGCTTTTAAATCCAATGTGGTAATCAAAAATTTATAAAAAATTGGTGAAAATTTGTAACACAATTAGCAAGAAAGCAATAGAACCCGAATAACTCGTGTAAGAATTTTACTTTAACGATGTTGCTTGGATATTTTCATAAGCAGAGTACAGCCACGCCAAGCATTTCGTCCCCTAACTGCACATTTTAATACCTAGCGCCTTTTTAGTAAATGCACACCAGCCCTTTGGAAGTCAATCGAGGGGGTCGCTGAACTCACCCCCACACGGACACTAATACGCGAGCAGTCAAAGTATAAATGGCAACTCGCACCAGACTAGCCGGTGCGATCATGCGTTTTGTGCAATTCAGCCCATCGAA